GATATGTTTAGGATTTCTCACAGGATTAAAACTGCTCATTTTAGAATAATTAAAGACTCACAAGAAGTTGCAAAAATAGTACAGAGTTCCAATGTGCCTTTCAACTAGCCCCCATGATGACATCTTGCATAATCGTATTTACAAGATCAACAATCAGAATGACTGATGACAGCTCACACAAAAAGATCTAAGCCTGGTATTTTTACAAAAAACAAAACAAGATCTTTTCTCTATACAGAGCTCAAAGATAAATGACATATAGGATTTAAATCTAATATTTTCACTGAAGGGACAATAGGAAATTGACATTGGTATAATACATCAACTCAAATGTAGATTTTACTTGGATTTCACAAGCTATTGCATGCATTTTTGTTTTTGGAGTCTAGTTTTATGAAAGTTTATCATATGTTTGGATTTGTGTAACCATAACTACAATCAGCATACAGAGAAACTCTCTTAAGTCACCTTTTAATGTAGTCACTTTTTCCTCATAAAGTTTTGTGCAGACTGTTTTTGTAGGATGTGGAATTAGCAGTAAAAGCAGAGGTAGATTTTGGGAAAGTGTTAAGATTTCAATTGACTTCCACAATTATACATCTCAAGTGAATGAGTTCATTTTTTTTAGTTTCCACATATTATGAGATTATATAATATTTGTCTTTCTCTCTTTTGACTCATTTCACTTAGCATTATGTTCTAAAGGTCCATACATGTTACAAATGGCAAAATTTCCTTTTCTGTGGCTGAGTAATATTCCATTAAATACACATACCACCTCTTCTTTATCCATTTATCTGTTGATAGATACGGATTGTTTCCACATCTTAGCTATTGTAAATAATAGCTGCAATGAATAGGGGGATGCAGAATTCTTTTGAGATAATGATTTCTATTATTTTGAATATATCATCAGAAGTAGAATTACTGGATCACATGGTAGCTCTTTTTTTCTTTCTTTTTTTTTAAATTTTTTGAAGAAGCTATATACTATTTTCCATAGTGGCTATATCAATTTTCATCTCCATCAGCAGTGCACAAGGGCTCCCTTTCCCTCACATCCTTATCAATACGTATTATCTTGTCTTTTAATGACATTCATTCTAACAACCAAGAAGTGATATCTCACTGTGGTTTTCATTTGTACTTGATAATTAATGATGTTGAGCATTTCTCATGGTTGGATGTCTGTATCTCTTCTGTCTATTCAGGTCCTCTGACCATGCTTTAAATTGAATTGTTTGTTTGTTTTGGATATTAACCATTATCTGAGATATGATTTGCAAATATTATTTCCCATTCAGCAGGTTGCCTTTTCATTTTGTTCTTGATGGTTTCCTTTGCTGTTCAGAAGCTTTTTAGTTTGATGTAGTCCCACTTGTTTGTTTTTGATTTTGTTATCTTTGCTTTTGGTGTCAAATCCAAAAAAATTGTTGCTAAGACCAATGTCAAGTAGTTTACCCCCTGTTTTCTTTTAGGATTTTTATGGTTTCAGATTTTGCATTCAATTCTTTAAGCTATCTTGAGTTGATGTTTGTGTGTTAGGGGTCCAGCTTTCCCAGAACTATTTATTGAAGGGACTATTCCTTACCCATTATGTATTCTTGGCTCCTTTGTTGTAAATTATTTGACCATATATTGTAGGTTTCTTTCTGAGCTCTTTATCCTGTTGCATTGATCTGTGTGTGTTTTTAGGTAAATACCACACTGGGGTTATGTTTGTTTGTTTTTTAAATAAATTTTTACAAAAATATTTTAAAAAGACAATATTTGAAGAAAGGGAGAGGAAAGGAGAGGAAAAGAGAGATAGAAACATCAATGATGAGAGAGAATCATTGATTGACTGCCTCCTGCACACCTCACATTGGGGACTGAGCCTGAAACCCAAGCATGTGCCCTGACTGGGAATTAACCTGTGATCTCATGGTTCATCAGTTGATACTCAACCACTGAGCCCTGACGGCCAGGCAATACCATACTGTTTTGATTATTATAGCTTTGTAATATAGTTTGAAACCAGGAAATGAGATGCCTCCAGATTTGTTGTTCTTTCTCAAGATTACTTTGGCTATTCAGGATTTTGTGGTTTCGTGCAAATTTTAAGATTGTTTTATTCTAATTCTGTGAAAAATGCTTTGGAATTTTGATAGGGATTGCATTGAATTGTAGATTGCTTTGAGTAGTATGGACATTTAAAAAAACACTCATTCACCTTGGTAGGTGTGGCTCAGTTGGTTGAATGTAATTCATGCACCAAAATGTTGCCAGTTTGGTTCCCAGTCAGGGAACATGCCCAGGGTTTCCTTGGGCTTGATCTCTGGTAGGGTGTGTGCAGAAGGCTACTGATCGATGTTTTGCTCTCACATTGATGTTTCTCCTTTTGCTTTCCCTTCTCTCTAAAAATAAAATTTAGACATTTAAAAAATATTAATTCTTTTACTCTACAAGTATGCAATATCTTACCATTTGTTTGTGTCTTCAGTTTCTTTCATCAATGTTTTACAGTTTTCAGTGTATAATCTTGTTTTAGCTATTTTAGACCTTTTGTCTTTCCATATAAATTTTAGAATCAACTTATCAATTTCTACAAAAACTTCCTGGGATTTCCATCTACACTGTGTTGTACTATAGATTGATTTGGGAAAAATTGACCACTTAAGGATACCAAATTTCAATCTATGAACATCATATATCTCTCCATTTATTTTGATACTCTTTAATTCTTTCAACATAGAGAATTTGCTTAGATTGTGTAATTACTTTTTTAAGGAGTTAATATTCTTATGTTAGACTTCTTGTTTATAATCTACGGTGTGGGTTCTATCTTCTGATTGGACCCAGATTGCTACACTGGAGTATCATTTAAGTACTGTTTGAATTAAGACTTTTGTGACTTGTGGGTTTTGTCCTCATTTTAAGAAAGATATGAGACATTGCTATGTATTCAGCTGGTACTTTTTCTCCTCTCCTCATTCACCCCATGTCTCATGTGCATTAACCTGCAATTGAACTAAAATGGGGAGTGGAAGACAACAGTGTGTTGAATGACATTTTTGCAAAAATTGAAGTTCAGCGAACAGTGAGCCAGGAGCACAGTTACTTGCATCACTGAAATGATCAGCTCCAGCTTGACCCTTACCGTATTTTATGGTGATGAGCAGAGTATTTAGCATTTCTTGAGGTACAGTCATCACAGGAATAAAAGAATCCCACAATTTTGATGCTTAGAATAGAGGTACTGTGACTTTAAGATGCTATGGATGAAATATTCAGGCTAATAAAAAAACCTAGTTTAATACCAGAAACAATTTTAATTTTTAGATTTGGTTTTGATACCCATAGAAAAGGGGGAAAATATATTTTTTAAAGGTGCCATTATGAATAGAAATATTCCTGTCATATTCTTACATTCATCTTGTTGAAGAAAAAAAGCCCAAACTCAACCAACCAACCAACCAACCAAATAAATAACAAAACAAAATCCCATCAAAATTAAAAAAAAAAAATCTTCTCCAGATTTTTATTTATTTATTTTTTTCAACGTTTTAGGTCTTTCTTCACAGGCTTCAGAGCACTGGTTGTGAGTAGGAGGAGGCTTGGGAGGCAGCGTGCCTGCTGTACAGTGTGTGTCTGAGGCTCCTTGAGATGCCTCCCAGACTCCTTCTGCTTATACCGTTCACTCAGACCCCATTTAACCTTCCAGCCTTAGGAACCAGGGTCTCTCAGGTCCTGCTGCCCCAATCACAGAATGAATGTGAACTTTGAGGACATGGCCATTGCTTTCTCTCAGGAGGAGTGGGTGCTCCTTGATCAGGCTGAGAGACTTCTCTGTACTGCTATGTGATGCTGGAATTTTTGCACTTGTATAATCTGTTGTTAGCATAAAATGAAAGATGAGGAGGCCTGTTATGATCAGAGTATATCTATACAAGGAGAGTCACAGGTCAGGGTTTCTAAGAGCTTCAGCCACCCAGAAGACCATTCTGTATAAGCGGTGTTTCTCTGTGTTAAAAGATACTTTGCACCTGACTGGGTCACAAATGTGCAGAAATCCTTCTGTAGTGACGCATGTGTTGGAGACTTCTGTGTCAGTGCAAACCCTCACCAGCAACAGAGGAATGAATGTGGAGAGGAGCCCTGGAAAGAAGCTATGAATATGGCCTCATTTGTGAGCAGGTCCAGCTTCTACTTATCTTCGGTGCCTCCAACCAGCAGGGAGGTTGGGGAAGACTTGCAGTACAACTCAGAGCTTCCCCAGCACCAGGCCACTCTCAGCACTGAGGAGCTACACTGTGGCAGTGAGATTTCAAAGGATTTCTTGATGGAAAAAAATCATCACCAGTGAGGTGAATGTGAAAAACGCTGCCAGCCACAACCTGAAAGTTGTTCAATGTTAGGGTGTGTGTTCTGGAGATCCGATTTATGAGTATAACAAATGTAGGAAAGTATTTAGAGGAAACTTTAATGTCATTAGACATAAGAGAGTCCATACTGGAGAAAAGCGGTGTATGAGTGTAATGAATGTGGGAAATTCTTCAGAGAAGGACCTGCACTCATTAAACACCAGAGAGTTCACACTGGAGAGAAGCCATATCAGTGCAGACATTGTGGAAAGTCCTTCAGTTATAAGTCTGCCCTAGAAAAACACAACAGAGTTCACACAGGAGAAAAGTCATTTGAGTGCAGAGAATATGGGATATCCTTTTGTCGAAGGGATCACCACTTCAGAGTTCACAGTAGAGAGAAACCATATGAGCATAGAGAATGTGGGATGTCCTTTTGTCTAAGGCACATGTGTCAAACACAAGGCCCGCGGGCCAAATCCGTCCCGCCAGGCCTTGCAATGTGGCCCGCACTGCGCTGTCATCACTGCACTCCGCTGCGTTTCCATCACAATGACAGTTTATGACTGTTCAGTAAGCCATTCGGCCCGTGATTTAGGCTGGATTTTAGATTTTGGCCCCTTCTCTGATTGAGTTCGACACCCCTAGTCTAAGGGCTCAGGTCACTAGACACCTCAGAGTTCACACTGGAGAGAAGCCATATGAGCATAGAGAATGTGGGAAGTCTTTTAGACAAAAGTCTAACTTTAAAAAACATACCAGAGTTCACATTGGAGAGAAGTGTTAAATGAGCAGGGAATGTTTTATTTTATTCAGTTAGAGTAACAATACTGAAGGAGACTCTTTGCAACCTATTTTCCTGAATTTAACCCCCTTTTATTGGAACATACACTCTTCTAGATTCCTCATAAGTTTCCAGTACAAGTGAAGTTTGAAGGAGGTGCATTGCACTTTGTAACATGCTCAGATCTACTACCCCATTGATTTGTGGCTGAAACGATTTCACCTATACAACCTGGCTCACCTTGAGTGCTCAGGGGAAATGTATTCTGTGTTCTCACTTGTGCTTGAGAACATTATGATTACTCCAGCTCTCAACAGGACCTTCATTCCTTTCTCTCTGACGAGGTAATGGTTCTGCCCCAAGGTTCAGCAAGGGTACCCATCCTCAGCTAAGAAGTGCTGCCTCTTTCAGGAACATTGTGCTTCTCACATTATGCTGTGAGGAATTGTTCCAGGTTCTAATTCACCAATCCTCAAACTGCTTTCTGTCCTCTGTTCTAATTTATGATCTTTTAATACAGGTGTTTTTCTTAAAACAACAACAAAACAACAACAACAACAAAAACCTTCTCCATTGCAGTTAAGGCCTTTGGCATGAATTTAAATTTAGCTTCCCTGGGAATTTTGGAAAAACATTTTTTTTCCCAACATTGTTTTTTATAGGCCCTGTGAGGCAGAGATATAACTTCCTCAAACAAAGCAGCAGGAAAAGCAACTAACAATCCTCTGGATAATGCAAATGAATAAAAATTGCCAGAATTATTGCAGGAGTGCTAAAAACCTTACTCTGATATTTTAGACACTATTCCTAGACTTTCGTGGTTCAGGGATGCCTGTTTTAGCACACCCACCATATTAGGGAACAGTGTTTGTGGAGAAAATAAATTACACAGAACAGTCTCTACCTTAAAAATGGATTATATTCTAGAGGTTAATTTGTCAATCAGTTAGAAAACAGTTTGATGAAAGATAGTTTGACTTCATGGCTTATGCAATCAGTTTTCCTTTGACTTCATGGCTTATGCAATCAGTTTTCCTTTGCTAAACATTACATTATTTTTAAAATTAGAACATGGTAGTGTATTAGTTATCTATTGCTATATAATCAATCACCCCCAAATTTAGAAACTTAGAAGAACAATCATTTTTTATGTCATAGTATTTTTGGGTCAGGTCTCTGGGTGTGGCTTAGCTGGGTCTGCTGGATCAGTGTCTCTTGGGAGCCTGAAACCTGCCATCAAATGAACTTGAGACCAATTCTCCCCCAGCGGAACCTTCATATGATACTGCAGCCCCTTCTAACCATGATTCCAGCTTGTGGGAAAACCTGAGCCAGAATTACCCAGCTTCTCATTTTCATCTAAAATGATACCACAGGATTTAAATTAAACTTGCATTTGAATAGTGGTTATTGTGCAACAAGGGACTCCCTTCTCTCTCTGGGGGGAAACTTGTTTTCCCCAGTGACAAATAAAGTGGGGATCACTTTCTGTAACTGGGTAGTTTGGAAAAGTAAGGTGTTTTGTTTTGTTTTGTTTTGCCTATTTGTAGCTTTCAGCCACCATGACCAGTATGAAAGGGTGTGTTCTTGTTCTTAAAAGGTAGAACTTAGGGTGTATTTTCACATGGAGACAGTATGCCATAAGTGGTGGTTATCTTAGGAAAGAGTTCCATTTGAGACTCACTATAAGTTAAATAAGCCCTTGTGGGCTAGCTCACCACCATTTATAACAGTATGTGCATGAGCAAATGGATTCTATTGTATATCCTAGACATCCATCTTATAAACATGCTTTTGCAATGTGACTCATTTTTAAGTTGGGGACTTGCCTGTATTTCATTAGGTCCTCCCCAGCTACCTTCCCCACAATAGTTTACATTTTGAACTATTAGCCTTTTGGGAAGATAAAATGACAGAAAATAGAGATTACTATAATTCACTCTTAGCGCTAAGAGCCTGGCAGATGCTATCAAGATAAAATCAGATTTTCTGCAGGGTTTGCACCTATATCCATTTATAGTTACATTATACCAGGTCACCATATTCTTTTCCTTTTGTAGAATTCTAGGGTCTTAATCTAGGTATTTCCAAAAAACACTCATATTTAGGACATGAGACACATTTTTGGTCTGCCTTCCACTCCCTTCAGCCCATATCTGAATGGAAGCTGATGGCCTTCCAGCTGAGAGGTTACTGTTCCAGCCCCGGAGTGGGCTCAGTGGAAGACTGCTCACCTGACCTCCCACATGCTTGATATTTTTAGACATGGCTCTTATTTTACTCAGCAATACACCAGCCAGCCAATCACTAGAGAATTTATCCAGGAATCAACCCGTTGCTTGAACATATGTTCAAAGGATGCCACTTCTAATCTCCAGCCCTTCATGAAGTCAGACAACCACAAGCATGTTTTAAGAGCCACCCCTATCTCCACTTAGTTTTGCTTCACTCATTCATGGTACACAGTATAAATACATCATAAAATGCCGTTCTGTCTCATTAATAGAACTGTAATAATTTTGTCCATGATGTGTGTTTTTTAATTTTAAATTCTTTATTGTTTAAGTATTACATAAGTCTCCATTTTCCCCCATTGACCTCTCTTCTTACCATCCCCAAAATCCCCAGCACATGCCCTCAGCTCCCCCCTCACCCCATCTGTGTTCATTGGTTATGCTCATATGCATGCATATAAGTCCTTTGGTTGATCTCTTACACCCTCACCATCTGCCTTCCCTCATAGGTTGGACATTCTGATGCTTCCATGACTCTGGTTCTATTTTTGTTAATCAGTTTATGTTGTTTCATGATGTTTCTTAATATGAATGTGTACTGGGTCATTCAACTTCTCTTACTCAGCCACATGGCCAAGTCTGCTCTCTCAGAACGACCGGTCCTTAGGGGAAATTTCCAATGTAGATGATTTACAGGTATAAGAGCTGTGTGTGTGTGTGTGTGGTGTGTGTGTTTAATTCACTGAGTTATTGAGAATAAGTTGTAGGCTTCCTAGTAAAAAATTGATTTGTGTGTGTGTGTGTGTGTGTGTGTGTGTGTGTGTGTGTGTGTGTGTTTAAGGGAAATAATAAAATGTCTCAGCTGCTTTTAAAATTAGGAAAGATGAACATAATCTCTATTCTAAAATAGATTTAAAAATACCCAAATCTTCTTTTGTGGTTGGAAATTACAAGGGACATAAACAGGAAGGATTAGAGGCAGGAGGGAAAGAGAAATAATTAAAATACATACCAAATTCCAGAGAGGCAAAATACTTGCTGATATACTAGTCTATCTCCCTCCTTCTTTCCCTCCACTTTCCTTCCCTTCCTCTTCCCTCCCTCCCCATCTTTCTCTCTCTTCTTCTGAAATAAAAAAAGTAAACCCAGAAATACCTTTTATTTTTAAGCAATATTTTAATTCCATCTAAAATTTGGAATGGTTGATCCTCTTAAATTCCTTACTCCCTAAAAAGAGGACAGCTACCATATTGCTTGGGAGAATGTACATCAACTGGAGAGGAAATGGAGTGGTATCTCTGCCTTGAGGTCTTTTCAAGCTACCCAGAATTTTAAACCTGGGCTGCAGTTCAGCTGCTGTGAGACACAGGTGGGACTGCCTTTGGCATTTGTCCTGGGCCTGGATAAGTGTGTCAGGCTGATCTGAGCTCAGGCTGCTTGCCTACTCCTGGCTACTCCCGCATCTGACATAGTCTTAGCCTTGGGAACAGGCTCTGGGGTGCAGGGATGATCACATGTTACTGTACATCCCATGGAACAAAGTTCAAAAAGTAAAATCAGAATATTTAAAAGTTAATTGTATAATATTATCTGCCTTATCCTGCTCATTTAATCCCACCCTCCCCTCTCCCCCTCCTGCAATGAACAGTGCACATTGTAGAGAGTTCTCTGTCTGTACCTACAAAGTTACCTCTTTCTTTATAATGGATGCCTATTATTCCACAGCATGGATTATTTTATGCCATAGGTTGGTGCCTTTTTTTCTTTTTCTTCCCCCCCCCAAATAATCCTGAAAGGACTATATTCCCAGATGAGCAAAATGTATTGTAGGAGCTGATCTCTGATGAATGTCAATTGTCAATATTAATATTCCATCTCTTTATCAATATTTTATTCCCCTTAGAATCTTTTATCTCCTCTTTACCCTCAACAATAGATAATCTAATAAATTGAAAGCTTGCTGATTAGAATGAAAGACAAATTGTCATCTATGTTTATATCTATGACAATTTCTCTTTTTTCTTACAGGCCCATAGTCAGCTGTATCTCCTTCATTTCTAATGTAAAAAGAGTATCAAGACAAGTTTCCTGTAAGATTTGTAACAACACATTCCATTTTGATTAGGAGTTTCCATCTGGAAATAAAGTCATAATTCCTTTTCATGAAAGAACAGCAAATAGATATGACCTTATCCTGTAGCAGCCTGCTTTGTAGTGCTGACAGGGGATGTTAGGAGGGTGAGGTGGAGAAGTTGGTGCTGGTCTGGAACAGATTGCAAGGGGAGGTCTGGACCCGTCAGGCTCAGCTGAGCAGAGGGCCCGATCATTTATCACTGTCAGAGGGGGTGGGGGTGGAGGGAGGGGAAGTTACTGGACCATTCCTGCGCATCGCCTGACTGACAGCTGACAGCATCTCATAAGCATCCATTGAGGTGCCCTGTACATCCTGCTGAAAGCTGCTGACAAGTTCACTGGGAAGAAGAAAGAAGACCTTCTGCTGCATGATGTGCTTTGCTAGAGCTTTGCACACCTTTCTGTGCGGTGTATAGAACCATTTGCACAAAGTGGGTTTAGTGGTATTAGAGGCATACAAACTGATAGAATGAGAAAATAACTCTGTGAGTCTCATGCCTTAATTACATTCGAAGACTTGGAATACTGCACAACACTGATTATTTTAATGTGGCCGAACTGACATCAGCAAATGCTGGTGAGAACATAGATAACTTTGCTGCATGCACGTGTAACAGACTAAGCAATGCCAGCCTGGCTCCCCACAGGTCTTTGAAAGGCAGTGTTTTTAAAAGCAACACTAAAAAGTATGATTTCTATGTGATACTTTATAGCTGTGTTTAACATTTCTCTAAAATGTCTAAAATATGGGTTAGGATCAATAGGAAATATGTATGTTAGAATGAAAGGATATTGCTTTTATTTACAACCGCATTTTCAGTACAACTGTTTTCAATACTGTTATTCACAGAGATGTCACATTTATCAGACTGACATGAAGATTTTAATCCTTAAAATAAAACAATTTTATTTTAAAAGGAATTTTTATTCTCAAGATTATCTAATTTTGGTAGTCATTAGGAAGTACATGTGTTAAGAGGGTGGCAGAAAGGTTTCATAGAAGTCAGGTGAAAAATTTCCATCAATTAATATTATATGCTTATCAGACATGCTCTTACATGTGGTAATTAATACCATTGCACTACGAAGGTGAGTATGGAATTCTCCTAAAGCAAAATGAACAATGATGGAATGCTTTTACTGAGCTAATGTCATATGAATCGGGCATTAGTGCTAGTCAGATAACAGTAGGGTAGCAGGTGTGGAAGAGCTGCAGGCAGTCTTGCTAACATGGAGCCTGGGGATGTGTTCCTGATTAGCAGACCCCAAGAGTGGGACAGGGCCATCGCTGCTTGAAGGATGAATAGAGGGCATTATCTTACTATCTTTGTTTATCCAACAGTAAGCCTAGTGACTGGCATGTAACCGGTGTTTTGTAACTATTTTCTGAACTGTGATGTTATTTGGGCAAAATGTGGGTTCCTGTGTCTTGACTTACTGGGATAGATATGTACTATCCCCCCTTCTGAGTCCCTCTGTCAACCTACATTCCACTCCCTCACACCTGTCTACCTAGGACATCATAAGCTCATTAAACCTACCTAAGACTGGAACAAGGTCTGAGATGCCCTCATCAGATGGGATTTCTTAGGCCAGCCATGTGGCTGCTTTGAGTTAGTCTGGAAATCCCTGAAAGCTCCAGCCCTGTCTCCCAGGGGGCAGGGTTTTAAGGAGCAAGCAGTAGAGTTCAAGGAACCCAAACCTGGAAAGAAGGGCCCTGCGCTGAGTCCTTATGTGATCAGGCAGGAAATAATCTCGCATTGGTTATTTTCATTTAAGGGAACTTTTATGCTTTCTCTTGCTCTTTCTATTAAACAAACAAACTAACAAATGAACAGAAATGGGACTCAGGGAGTATTTAGATTTTTACAAGATGAAAATATACCTGTTAGGATCTAGATTTCTTCTTTTTCAAGTTTGCTTTGCATTTTTTTATTTTTTTATTTTTATAGTTAACTCGTTATCAATGACATTTTTGCTTTAAAATTTGGAAGTACACCCAAGTGTAAAGAAGGAATAATAATCACCTATCACTTAGCATGTATAAGTAGCTATTATTACATTTTGACCCTGTTTTTTTCTAGTAATTTTTCTGTTCTTTTGTTCTTTATTTGGTAGGATACTATTTTTTCTTTTTTTTTTGCTTTTCCCCACTCAGCTCTGTATTATTACAATTTCCCAATGCATGAAAAAACCATTTTATGATCATACTTTTAAAATTACAGTACCAAAAAATTACCATGTAATATTCCACCTTAGGACTATGTCACAATCACTTCATTATCCCTCTTTTGTTGGGTCATTTAGGTGGGTTACAGTTTTTCAAGGTTGTAAACAATTATGCTGTAAACATATTTGGGTAGCTCTGCCTTAATACTGATTATTCCCTAAGGTACATACCTATACTTGGCATTATTAGGTCAAGGTCTTAAATGCTCTTGACTTTCCTGATACATATTTGCAGGTTGCTTTCCAACTGGATTGCAGCTGTTCCCATGTCCATGAGTAGTGTTTGAGGAAGCCTGTCTCCCTCATCCATATTCAGCATTGGTTTTGTAAGTTTTGCCATTTTCATGAATTAAAAATAGCACCTCATTGTGTGGTTGAGTATCTATTTACATAGTTATTTGTTATTTATATATTTAAATTTTTTATGAATAATGTGTGTTCCTGTTGTTCTCCACTTTTTCTATGGCAGTGGAATCGCTATCTTTTACAGAGTTGTGGAAGCCTGCCTGGGGAGTATGCAGAACTGAATTCAATGCTGATTTTTAGGGCCGCTGGCTTACCTCCTGCACTCTACTTGTAGGCACCCATGTGGTCACTTTCCTTACTTATCCAGGGCAATCTTGTGATCTCATGGAACTCAGCAACACAGCATGATCATGCTCTACCAGTTTCTCTCAGGAGGAGGAAAGGGTTGTGTATGGGGTGTGTGCATTTGGCGTTGCTGTTGCAGGTTCACAGTCATTCTTGTGGTCTGTGCACAGAGCAGACTTCTGAAAAGACAGCAGGTGCATCGTGAAAAATAAAAAGGCCTTTGCTTTCTTAATGCTTTATTTTTTTAATACTCATCCAAGGCTATGCTTTTATTGTTTTTGAGAGAGAGAAAAAGGAAGGGGAGGGGAAGAGAGAGAGAGAGAGAGAGAGAGAGAGAGAGAGACAGACAGACACATGGATATCAGAGAGAAACATCCATTAGTTGCCTCCCATAAACACTCTGACTGGATTGAACCCCTGGAACCTAGGAATGTGCCCTGACTAAAATTCAATCCCGTAACCTTTTGGTGTATGGGACAACATTACAACCACCTGAGCCACCTGGGCAAGGGCAATGCTTTATTCTTTTAAAATACGTTCTCTTCATTGCCTCACTCTTTTAGCTGGAAATCTTCTCTTAGTGTTCTCTAACAAGTTTGTTGATTTAATGGATCTCCTTATGTGTAGGGTCTGTGAAATTTTTTCTTTCTCCCACAACTCAAAAAAATGTAATTGCCAGTGGATATGAGCCAAAGATCCTACCCATCAGTATTAGCTTATGCCTCTTTTAGGCTGGGGTTTATGTATGACCTTGTTTTGCCCCATCCTGCTATGACTTTATACTGTGAACTTCACACTGTGAAGTTTCAGGTTCTTCCACAGAGGGATGATGGGAGGTGCAGGGGCTGCCTGCAGGAGTATCGCTCCTTTACTGGCCAGAAGATGCATCTTAGTTTTATTCCACCTGGAGCAAAGGGAGCTGAGAGAATGGTGGTGGTGGATGGAATTCACTGGAGAAAGGACAGTGGTCAGAGCATAAAAATGTAATCCTGAAGGATATCTGACTTCTTTTTTTGAGCTGCAATCTTGAACTCTTGCCATCTAATTTTTCCATTTTGTCCATAGTATATCTTTTGTTTTTAGGGCAGCCCCCACTTACATACAGTGAAGGCTGACCTTTTCTTTCTCCTTGAGCTTTGAGAGCAATGCTTGTCTCTGGGTGCCCCCAGCAGTTGGGGACTACTTGTCTTATTCTCACTATAACCTTATTGAGAACTCTGTTAAGCAAGCCTCTGCCAGCCACAAATTCCATCTGCCTCTAGTCATGCACCATGTCCTTCAGTTAGAAAGACTCAGGCTTCCTTCAGTTAGAAGGACACAGGGTGGTTGGAGCACAGATTCAGTTGGCCCTCAGTTGAGTAACGTCCTTCCAGTAACTGGAACACAACCATGTAACTTCCCCCTCTTCCCCTCCTCACATACAGAGCACACCAATGGGGGAAAAACGCACTCTGGGTTGAATTTCACCTTAAAATACAATAGCCTCCAATGGTAGGAACTTTAAGGACAAAAACAATATTGAACCAAGGTCCATCTGGGCAGAGGTGACTAGAAGCATCATTATCTATTCTCTCCCAGTGCACCTGCCCCATATTTATGTGACTGGATGACAGGTGCATCCTCAGGACTCCAGCTCTCACAGTCATCACATCATCCCCACAACAAGGTAGAGGGCACCTTGTCCAGCCAGGACCCAGAATGCTCCATCAGTGTGACTCCAGCACCTCTGCTGGAGACAGGAGAGGAAGCTCAGAAGCTAGGGCCATTGGCCAAATATGAACCCCACTTAGTTCCAATCTAATATGTACCTTGAGACACCAGGAGTAAGTGACCTAGAGAAAGAGCCACTAAGAAACAGTGGTGGGGATTGTGACACCTTACTTTTTGAGGTTTTAGTTGCCATTTTAGTGAAATAAACACACTTTTACTTCAGTCTCAAACTGAACCTAATCACTGATAAGCCTCATAACAGCATGAATGACTGATAGTAACAATGATAAGCATGGGTTGGATTTTTAAGGGTTAATAACATGACTGGGAGGGGCTTGCACTGCTAGCTGACCTGCAGCTGTGAGGCTTTATTAGTCTGATAAGAGGCTATCCCAGTGCAGGGATGATTCTGGTCCAGAAGCTGACCATGACTCCCAGGACAACAGTAGCTGTTCCTAGAATCGCCAATTAGGTAATGTTGCCATGGTCACCCAATCTGGAGGAGATTGGACCTGCAGGAGAATACTGAGGGTCTGAGAGACCACCCTCCAGCCCTCACCTCCTTGCCTTTAACCTGTCCAATCACCCTTCACATGGAAGATAGGAATTTTAGCTAGCTCAGTTTGCATACATAATACAGCTAATCACTGGTTAATTTGTGTCAGAATTTGCATTATTAAAGGTTCATTATTAAACAGTTTTATTGTATTTTCAAGCAAGAAAAGTCATGAAGTTTGAAGTACATTAGTTATACAAATAAAGCAAAAAACAAACAAAAAACAAAACAAAAAAAACCCCACACAAAAACCCAGTGCCAGTATCATCTTCTAAAGCTTTTGAACATGCCCTCTAGATCCCCTTCAAAATCTCTCCAATAGTTGACTTTGGCCCATTCTTGCTCTAATTAACCTTGCTGCTCCTCAAGCACTGGGCTTTCAAGATTAATGAAAATCTATTCCTTGTCCTCATATACCCTTGACTGAGGACACGTCTGGCCATCATCAGAGGTTGTCCTCCTGGAGCATGTGGCCTTGGAAAGTGTCCCCATGGAGCAGGGGCAGGGACATCTGTCCGACCAGCCAGATTGGAGGCATCTACCCTGCTGTGGCCAGGCAGCAGATGTCCCTGTCAGAAAGTCCCTCCTGTCTTCATTTCATGCTCTGCTGGTAATCAATAGTTAGTACCCAATCAAAGAGTGACTTTTTTGTTTAGTCAGTGTGATTGTTTCTCTGGTGAAATACCCAACTAATTATGAAAAAAAGTTTTATAAATGCTCATTACGTTCTCAGGTTAATCCTCCCCACCCCCAAATCTTATTTGACCTATATACTTTGTTTAAAGGATCTCTTCTTTGGCTCCCAAATACTAGCCTTAGCACAGTTTTAATGGGAAAGTGCCCTTAGAAGTTCAGCTTTGGTTTCCAGGAATAGAATTGCAACTGTTCAGTTTTTAAGGACTCACCATTCCCTCATCATAGAATAGAAAGGAACACTCAGATTTCCTCTTATTCTTTGGTCCCTAAAGCTGTCTTATTGTTGAAATGTATCTTGTAGAAATGAGAAGGAAAATGGCTTCTTTATTTGTGTCATCTTTCAGTTTTATTCACTTAGACCAGGAATAACAAAATGATTTAAGCACATGAGAGAGATTCCATGGGGTGCTAAGAGGAGAAAGGATTTTGTGGTCACATTTGGGGTTAGAGAAATCATGCTGTGGTTGATTAGTGATGTCTGTCATGGGCATGGAAGTGGAGGAAAGGTAACTAAGTGCCATGTATTTGTTATCCCTTGCTGGAGTTCTTTTCCCAGCCTTACAAAGGGTTCAGCATTCTGGAGAAAGGGGCTGCGCGTAGACTCAAGGAGTCTAAGGACAAAATATAATTTTGAAATGATTGGGGGTCAGAGGAACTTCAGCTAAGAGGAATTGAAGACTCCACCTTGTCTAAGGACCCAGTGGTATTTATTAAACACAATTTGTCCCAAGACAAGGTGGAAATATACACTTCAAAGGGTAAGGTATCAAAGGGTACAGAAGCATTGCCAGTTTGGGGAATAGCCTACAGCTGTTCAGATGTTTGGCCAACAGGAGGCAACAAAATGCCCTGAGCTGTCTGGCAGCAGAATATCCTATTCAGTTTTGGGGGAAGTGCTGTTTAGCAGTTTCCAACAGGTAAACTACATATGTGGCTCATCCTTGTTGAACTACCCAAGTCCCATCAAACTTTTGATGGAACTCTTGTAATTATTACATGCTGGAATTGGTTCCTGGCAATCCCTGGTTCAGATCTTATAAAAATCAAGTTCACACAAAGATGATAATACTAGTCTAACAGTTAAGTTGTGCTTACTATGTACCAAGCACTGTTCTAAGTACATTATGTGTGTTAACTTATTTAATTCTCAGAGCAACCCATAAGGTTATTATCAATGAGGAAACTTACAGATGAGAGAACTGAGGCACAAAGAGGCCAAGAGACTGAGCTAGGAAGTGGGAGAGCTGAGATTCTAAGCCAGCCTCGTTTCAGAGCCCATATCCTTAGCCACTGAAACTGTACTGACTTCTGTTAGTAAAGGCTGTCTTTGCTTGTCCCCCAGGGGCTATAGTTCAAAAGGAAATGTGAAATCCAGTTTATAGACACTCTTATTTTTGGTTATCAGGCTCTAGAATAAAAGATAAAACAAGGTCTAGGGTAACCTTAGCAGTAAAGAGAAAGTGGCATTTGAACTTTCACCTTCCTCTCCAGTTAACATTTCCAGTCTTTCCACCTCCACCAGCACTCTGCCTTCTCAGCTGAGAGCAGGTGAATGGGAAAGGAAGGACATGGGCATTTAAGGAGCAGAATAAGGGAGTTCCTTTGTCCAAACCACATGGATGGGGATACTTTCTGAGTGGCCATTTTTAATGATCATTTTTGTTTGAGGACCACATCTCTCTATATAAAAGCCTAAGCAACTGAAGGGTAGTTGACCAGTAGTTATGATGTGCACTGAGCACCAGGGGGCAGATGCTCAATGCAGGAGCTACCCCCTGGTGGTCACTGGGCTCCCATAGTAGGAGCACTGCTCAGCGGGAAGCTGGGCTCATGGCTGGCGAGCACAGCTATGGCAACGTGAGCCTCTCCTGCCTCCGTGCAGGGCTACCGAGCTGCAGTGGCAGGTGCAGTGGAGCCAGGATGAGCAGAAGCAGTGCCTGCCCTAGCTCAGGCTCCTCCCCAGCTGCCTGCTGCTTTGTGCATCCCTATGGGGTTTGGGCCTAAACCAGCAGCCTGACATCTCTTGAGGACTCCTGAATTGTGAGAGGGTGCAAGCCAGGCTGAGGGACTTCACCAGGCACAAATCCGTGCACTAGGCCTCTAGTGTTCATATAAAGAGTTACATGTTTTTAGTGAATAAAATGATATATCTTTCATAATGGCTAAAGAGAGTCTTTTTAGAACTGTTTATGTTTTCCTTAGTTGGCTAACAACAATGTATTAAGTACTATGCTATGTCCATATTGTGATAGTATTGTAGATATGGTGAGCCAAAAGAGACACGAGTCCTGCCCCCCCCAATCTAGTCATCCAAATACTGACTGAGTATAAGGTGCAGCTCTGATGAGTGTTGCGGACAAAGGCCATTGATTCCAAGAGAGCAGCATGGCCGAGGTGGGCAGAGCATGTGGGGCCTGTGTTAGAATTTTGACTTAGCCTCAGTGCAGTAAAAGTCACACTGGGAGGAGATTGGGGAGTTTATGTCATATAACCAGAGTTATACTTTCTTTTCAAAGGCAATGTGACTACACTGGGAAGAACAAATTAGAGAGGGTGTGTAGGGACACTTGGAGGAGTCCAGCCCAAGAGGCCCAACAGTTTGGGCTGGAGTGGTTTTGGTGGTAGAGTGAAGAAGTAGAAGGATTCTAAATATGTTTGGAAGGCAGAGTTAGCTAGATTTGATGATAGATTAAATGTGGGTGGTAAGGAAGAGGGAACGGGTAGGAGGATAGTCATCCTATGCCCAGAGGTTGGAATGCTGGAAGAAGGTCAAGTTTGGAGAGTATGGTCAGCTTGTGTTGGAGGGGCTTTTGAGCAGTCTCACAGGGGATGTCAAACAGCTACACTTTTTATTGTGAATTATGTACTGGGTTGTAAATAAGGCCTGATGGACTATCCTGGGAAACCAAGTATTGGAAAAAATTTTTAAATCTATAATTTGTTGATTAAAAAAAAAATCCAAGCAAACATATTTTCATTTAGAAAATAAGAATCTAACAATGACCAAGGAAATTAATAAAGGTAAACATCTTGCATAATTTCCCTAGTTATTTTCATTTTTGTATGTTTCTCTGGCAGTTTTTTCCCCTAAGCATTCACATTTTAATTAGTTGTCATTATAATCTATATCCAGTGTGTAACAGGATTGTTTTCACTTATGATTATCCCAAATGTTTTTCCTCATTCCTATATATCTCTCAAACGCTGTATTTAGAATATGTAGCATAGTATTTCATACTTTTGATAAATCATGGATTATAAATTTCTAAGCAATTTCTCTATTTTGGATATTTAGTTGATTTTAAGATTTAATTATTAAAAGTAGTAATACTTCAATAAATATTGTTATACATATGTGTTTTTTTTCATAGGTGGCATTTTTCTTAGGTTGAATTCTTTTGAGTGGAATTAGTGGGTCAGAGCATATGAATAGGTGTACAGCTCTTGATGCGTAAAGGAAGATGTTTAGAACCATGGACAAGGCTGTGGAATGCTCACCGTAGAACAGAGTTGTGACCTCCACATGGGGTGTTATCACATTCCTTTGGATTCAGTAACCAGTAGTCCTAACCATATGAGTATGTGTGTGATAAAGTCCCATGCCACCTGACCTTTAACCTTGCATTTACTAATTGTGCCAATTACTGCCTAGAGATTACTGTAGGGCTTGCTCTCTTGTTCACCTAGCCTGGCTCTGACTCCCCTTTCAGGTTTTCTCTTCTTAGGATAGTGCCACAAATCTTAGGAACCAGTGGAAGCCCCTAAACTAGTAGTATCCCAAAGGGATCATCTAAACTGGACTGAACTTCAGAAGCCTTCAGGTTCTAAAAGACTGCAGTGGTGTTGCAAAGGATGCTTAGGACCCCCAGGGGTTTGGATGGGGTTCTCAAGACCTTCCATGACCCTGTCTATTACTGTCACTCTGTCTTTCATTACCATTGCTTCTTAGCATATCACCCATAGCATGGCCTAGACTCTGTTCTGGTCCAGGGTGATGCCTTGGTTACATCTACTCCTGCCTCTCACCGAAGCTGCTTCTGCACCCTCTGCCTTTCCAAGTCCTGCCTCTCCTTTCAGACTCTACATAACTTGTGATTCCTTCAGGTCATTGGTTCTGAGTTTCCAACCAACTGTCCCTGTGGTGTGAACTCTTACAGTACCTTTAGTCCTCATCCCAGGACTTAGCACGAAAGTGTAAGCTTTCTGGTAAAATTTGCTTTTGAATTGTTTACCCTCCTGAAGGGCAGGAAAAAATGCCATACTCTCCCCCCAGACCTCTCAGAGTCGAGCTTTAGTGCTGAGTTCTTTGCCAGAGTTCAATAAATCTAATGTGACCCATTACATCAAAATATATGCACTATGTTAGGCAATGTGAAAGCAATCTAGCCATGGTTATGCATTTAAAAAAATATATATTTTATTGATTTTTTACAGAGAGGAAGGGAGAGAGATAGAGAGCCAGAAACGTCAATGAGAGAGAAACATCGACCAGCCCCAACCAACGTACATGCCCTTGACCGGAATCGAACCTGGGACCTTTTGGTCTGCAGACCAACACTCTATCACTGAGCCAAACTGGCTTTGGCTGGTTATGCATTTTTAATAAAATGCCCATATTCAAAAGTTGTTGAGGATATTAAAATACTCATAGATGCACCATATTCAGATATTCCCGATCTGGTTGCTGTTTGGTGTGATGGTAACAAATTAATGCTGGAAAACAATCACATGGTCATTTAAAAAATATATGTTTTTTATTGATTTCAGAGAGGAAGAGAGAAAGAGATATAAACACCAATGATGAGAAAGAATCACTACTCGCTGCCTCCTGCATGCCCCACACTGGGGATCAAACCCCAACCTGGGCACGAGCCCTGATCGACTGGGAATCAAACCGTGACCTCCTGGTTCATAGGTTGTAGCTCAACCACTGAGCCATGCCAGCCAAGTCACATGTTCACTTTTCATTCTTAAATCCTTGATATACACTGAGATGGGAAGGATGATTGGTGGAGGAGACCAGGGTGCATGAAGAGTAGTAGCAAGCACTAGAGTATTTGTTTAGGCTCTAAGAAGGTATCTTTGGCTCCTGGGAACAGTGCTTGAGCCGTAGTGAAATGATATGTTCTTGAAAAGTTGGTCTTAATGTGACCCCGCTGTTTTTATGACTCACTTTACTGATTGGGTCTTCAGTGGAAGCCACCCAGTCCCCCTGGAAACTGGAGCTTCCCTTGTTCTCCAGGGATGGCCTGGCATAGTGGGGACCCTCTGGCTAAGAGGCAGGAGCTCTCAGGCTGGACTGGCATTGCCTCCACCTACTGCACAGTCCTGCCTAAGGCCAGGCCTTAGCACACTCATTTGCAAAGTGACATGTTCGCAAAGCCCATCTCTAGGCTATCCTGTAAAAGATCAAAGCCACAATACTTGAAACTGTCATATAGGGTAAGCTTTGGTGTTATTTCTAAATAAAAATGAGAAGTAGGCTCTTTGACACATTTAATGACATGTGTTAGCATGTGTGTAGAACTTTACACTTAACTTGCATTTCTTTCTTTCTTTCTCTCTTTCTTTTTTTTGTAGCCAAACATCATGTCAATGGCAACAGAACAGTTGAACCTTTCCCAGAGGGAACACAGATGGCTGTATTTGGTAAGATATCAACTCTGAAAGAAAACCCGAATCGTGTGCACAGACTAGTGCCAAATTTCTGAGTTTTAGCAAGTGTCCTCAGGGTTTCAAAATCTGGGCTCTTCCAGATATGTACAAATCATCGGAGCCAACCCCTCCTCCCTCCAAACTACTGAGTTTTTAGTATTACTGGGATCAGAAAAGCTTATTCTATATATTTTAATATGTTTTTCTCCCTCACCTTGCAGACCAAATATCAAACTGTGCATTTGCTACTTCTTAAGTCCACACTGTGAATTAACCTGGTCATTTAGGGCTTGTGTTTTTCTTTGTGGGGAGGGATTTTTTTTCTTCTACATCGATATATAACTTAGTTGAATTCTGGGTGGAATTCAAGTAGTTTTGAATTATTTCACAAAACTCGGTCTAGTTGAATGACCTCTGTCTCCTCCATTATGAATTGAGCATATTCCTTAGGAGGAAACATCTTTCTTCTATCTATACTAATCTATAGTAATAAAAGGGTAATATGCTAATTAGACTGGGAGACCTTCTGGGAGACCTTCCAGGCGTCCTTTTAGACAAAGCCATGGTGGCGGGGCTGAGGCAGAGGCTGTTAGGGATGATTAGGCAAGGATGGGAGGGCAGTTGGGAATGATCAGGCCAGGGTGGGTAGGTAGTTGGGGGCAAGCAGGCCGTGGGGGGAATTGGGGGCGAGCAGACCAGTGGGGGGCAGTGGAGGGAGGGGCATGAAGCAGTTGGGGGCTCAGGCTGGCAAGGGGGGGGCAGTTGGGGGGCGAGAAGGCTGGCAGGGGGAGGAAGTTGGGGGTAAGCAGGCTGGCAGGCAGAGAGGTTAGGGCGATCAGGCAAGCAGGCAGGTGAGCAGTTAGGAGCCAGTGGTCCCGAATTGTGAGAGGGATGTCCAAATTGGACATCGCTTGACAGGTCCCAGATTGGAAAGGGTGCAGGCTGGGCTGAGGGAACTCCACCCCCCTCCTTCCACCCCCTACCATGATGAATTTTATGCTCCGGGCCACTAGTCAATTAAAATGTTTTAAGTTGAAAAAAAAATATGT